TCCTGATAATAGAGGACTTAAAACAAAGCGAGCAAACATGAATCTGAGGGTGAGGTTCATTCCAGAGTATGAAGATAACTAGAGGTGACCACAATCTGTAACCCTAAAGAAGAGAAGATTAATATTCTAGTAGACTACTTGTTAGCGTTCCTTTATCTTACCCAGCCTTGTTTAACTCTATGTTGGCAACACCTGGGGGTGTTGTGAAACTAGATTCCAATTCAGTACTATCTGGGGTGGCTATGTGAATTCCAGCAGGGGTTCAAAACAATGAAATGTTTGATGTCCTGCTTCAAACTTCTAACCTTTCACTTAGTAGCTAAGCATGTAACTACATGCGCTATCCAAGAACTCCCATGGTCACAGTCCCTCTGTAAAGAGTTTGTGCCTGATTAAGTCAGACCCACCATGCTAATTCCCTTTGTGATTTGAGACTTTTAATCCCATTCACAAAATTCCTGCACAGCAGCACCTAGATTAATGTTTGATTGAATAACTAGGAGGTGGGTATGCTCTACAAAGTGGCTGCTGTCTCCCGTCTGGTCTCAGGAATTTCCCTTGTAGCTTGCCCTAACATACTAGAATGGGGGAATTCTAGTAGATACAGTTTCAAGGTAGCCAAGTTGGCCTATCACAAATTCATTACCTAACCAAAAACCAAATGCACTGCCATTGAATTGATTCTGACTTGTAGGTTATTAAGACTGTCCATCTTCATTGGAGCAGATAACTTCAACTTTATCCCTTAAGTTGGCTGGTGGGTTTGAACAGCCAACCTGTGGTTAACAGTCCAACCCAACAGTACCTTAAGTTCTCACACAGCTTCAAACGGCATAAATCTCAAACAGAATACACACAAAGAACTGCACATAGACAGTGCAAGCAGTCCCTAAAAGTATTTGAGTTACTAAGTGTAGTATTAATTTGGGGGGAGTAGGTGGGGGTCCAGGCCCCACCGCTACTACTACCCATGGGTTCAGTAATGCACAATTGTATGGTTGAGATATATAAGTATTATGTTAAAGTCGTCGAGAGCATGATAGATAGAAGAGGTATTACAATGATGCAGTCAGACACATTACATGGTAGCATTGCTCACCTCAGCCTTGCTTGGTGGTCCACGTGGAGAGAGGGGGAAGGGAAAGAGGACGGGAACAGGGGATCGAGGATGGGAGAGGAAAGGGGGAAGAGAGGGGAGAGACCAGCGAGAGAGCCCAGCGAGAGAGAGATCTCTATTGCTGACCCATGCCTATATACCTTTTGGGGGTGTGCAAGCCCACTAATTACAGGTAAAGACATATGTCACAGGAAGGGGTTACACTATAGGT